AGATTATATGCAAATAAATGCAGGATGGTTAGCTAGCTCAAATTTGTTAATGAGATCTAAAATTAGATGACTCCTAAGTGAGAAATTTAATTAAGAAATGTAACATTAATCATGAAATTCTTGCGTTTATGCATATTAATTTTATTTACTGCCCCTCAGCCCATTTCACTCACTATTGTTCTGAACCAGAGCAAACCCCCTCAAAAAGTATTGAGAAGATAGCCTAGACCCTAACTTTTTCTTATTTTAAAGGTAAATGCCTGGCTTTCTGTTCAGATGCAATTCAATTGGTCAAACTACCAGTCTTGAATCCAAACACAATTTATTCATACACTACGTTTAAAAGACAACTAAAGAACAAATTTGGAATAACTTAACTCTATTGGAAAACTTAACAGAGTAATACATTATTTAACTGTCAAATAGTAGCAGTTTCCAATATAGTAACATCCCATAAACACATCTTTTATCAAAGTCACAACAATGCGTTGGCAATTATGTCCTCTTATCCTGCCATGTGTATAATTATCAAATTGAATAGCTGCATTAATAAGCTCCATCTAAATAGTCTGGAATTTTTATCCTTAAAATTTTCTAAAAGTTTGAATGGGTTATGATCAGTATATACAATTGTCTCAGACGCATTACGGGCAATATAAATGTTGAAATGTTGCAACACCAGCTCCAAGCTCAAGGTGTCCTTCTCAATCACGGAATATTTCTGATGATGAGTATTCAATTTTCTAGACAAATACCCATTAGGACTTTCTATCTTCTTGTCATCTCCTTGTAAGAGTACAGCACTGACACCCACATCACTTGTATTGATAGCCACCTTGAACAGCTTTGCATAATTAGGTGTAATTAATATTGGGGTAGTGATTAACACAGCTGTCAGGCTGTCATATGCCTTCTGTTAAAATTCAGCTAATTTCTCTGAACCAAAAATATCCACTATGTCCTCTACCTGTTCTTACTTTTTTTCAACCATTTGATTGAACTTTGTCTCTGATAATTGAACTTCAACGTCCTTGTCTTTATTCTTCGATTTCTCCTCCTGTTTCAGCTGGTGGCTTAGTGACCTTGTTACCACACAGTCAGGAAAAATCCCAGGATATACTTGCTGTAATACCTTAGTTGCCCGATTTTCCACTGGCCTTTTAGCCACAGCAGGCATCACTTCCAGCTGTGATCCAGCTATATCATTACCAAGCATAAATTGTATTCCTGGAGCTGAGAGTTTCTCCAGGTCTCCCACCACCACTTCTCCACTTTTCACTGGACATGCCAACCTCACTTTACATAATGGAACACTGCTCTTCTCACCATGAATTCCACATACTAACGCTTCTTTCTGACAATACTCCTTCTGAATTATATGTCTCCTCATCTCTCACCATCAAAGATTGACTTGCTCCAATATCTTTTAAAATCTTAATTTCTTTACCTACTCCTCCTGGCACACATGAGTAAACCTGACCCACGCAAGTAAATTCTTTAAAGAAATCTGACACTTTCTTCTCAACCAATCCTTGACCAGGTTGTACATTCTTTTGCAGCTTTTTAACTTCCACTGTGCTTTCCTTTATCACTTCAACAAAACTCATTGGCTTGTCCTGTTTTCTCACATCTTCCCAATACTTTTTCTAAACCACCAACACTATGACTTCATGTGGCCCACTTTATTACAGTGAAAACACCTGAGCCTTTTTACTGCTCTTTCCCCCTTAAAGGTTTTCCTTTTTAGTTGTGATAAACTATCTTTACTATCTTCAATGAGATCTCCATTTCCCTTCCTACCATAGGATTTCTCTTTTCCCCAGTTTCTATCCCTCACAGATTGAAATTGGTGTTGGTAGCCAAACTATGATTTATGAACCAACACATAAACATCTACCATTTCTGCTGCTAATCTCGCAGTCTTAACTCTCTGCTCTTCCACATGATTTCTTACTATTTCAGGAAGTGAATTTTTGAACTCCCCCAAGGTAACCGTCTCTCTAAGAGCGCCATATGTCTTAAATATTTTAAATGCCCTTATCAACCTATCAAAATGACTTTGTTTGGTTCTTTCAAACTCAACATAAATTTGACCAGTTTCCCTCCTTAGATTCTTAAAACGTTGTCTGTAGGTTTCTGGTACTAGCTCATATGCACTTGAGATGGCTTTTTACACCTCCTCATACTCCCCAGATACATCCTCGGATAGTAATGCAAATACCTCACCAGCTGAACCTACCAACTTTGTGTTGATCAACAATATCTATACAGTCACTGGTCATTTCCTCTGTTTAGTCATTTTCTTAAATTAAATGAAAATGTCTGCTATATCGTTCTCGTCTGACTTCGGCAATGCTTGAACAGATCCCCACCAGGCCTTTGGATACATTGGGATTGCTCTCCATCATTGCCCTCATCACTACTCCTACCTTTCACCTCTACCTCTGCCATTTTAAGTCGAGTTTGAGTTTTCAGTTTCAACCTCTGAAGTTCAAAAACTCTTTCTTTTTCCCTTTCTTCTGCTAAGGCCTTCCTTTGCTTTGCTTTTTGATCTGCTTTAAATCATAACTCAAACTTTCTTTCCTTTTCTTTTGCCTCTAAGTCAAGCTGCTTCATCTTCAATTGAATTTTAGCCATTTCCAAAGATGGCATTCCTGGAAATTGTAAACACTGTGCAATTGCCACAATTATCTCCCCCTTCCTCATACAGCCCCAACTCCAGCTAGCTCGCCAATTCCAAAAGCTTTGCCTTGCACACTTTCTGTAAAACTCCTGAAGTGACTTCTTCCGCACTCAGGAAACTCTTAGTGACTGAAAAAGTCATTATTACAAAAGGCACACTGTATTTAAACCAATGGAATTCTACACCCGTAAAGAGAACACCAACACACACCACTCACTGCCTTTGAGTCCAATAATCCTAAACCCCACCTTGAATTAGAGATTTTGATCACAACAAGAGCCCCTACTTTGTTATGGACCAGACCAAATCCCCTGAAAATATGTTAAAAACATAGCCTAGACCCTAATATTTTCTTATTTTAAAGACAAGTGCCAGACATTGTGTTTCAAATGTAATTTGATTGGTTAAACTTCCAGTGTTGAAGCCAAACACACTTTATTCATACACCATTGTTAAAAGACAACAAAAAAAAGAATTTGGAATAACAACTCAATTGGAAAATTTGACAAATTATATGCTATTTAATTACTAAACAGTAGTAGTTTCCAATATAGTAACTTCTCATAAACACACCCTTGGCAAAGGCAAATTCAGTAAAATAGATTGTCTCACTTGCAATTCTAGCAGCAGGAAGAGAATCCCCCAGCTTTTGGTTGTAATAGAGAGAGGAAAAATAGCTTTCACATCCAGCTTCAAGACCCCAGCAGAAACTGCTACTGAAAACTAAAACTGAAAACCCTGCTTCTGTGGGAGTTTGACACTACCCATTCAGGCTGCTTATATTGTTCCAACATTTAAAAAAAAACAAGGCGTCACAAACGGTTTACTTTATTGGCTCAATGCATTTCTCTCAACCTTTCTTCAAAAAATGGACAAAATACACCAAAAGTATCAGCACACTATACATCATGTCTCATACACTATCTCAAAATGTTAGCTTCTGATGGAAATTTCTCTAATTTAGAATTGAATTAATGAGTTCTGTTAGTCAGAATCTATGCAAGACAACAACATCAAAATGTCATGCTCTGCCTTTGTCTCATGTTTATCCTGCCATTTTGGAGTACATGCAAATTTATAATGAGGAAAATAGGTTCCCCCCTTGTGAAAGAACCACAAGGTAAAGACAATGGGATTATTGTGCATAGAGACTACAGAGCAGAAACTGCCTGCAATGAGGTACCTAGAATGTCGGCCTTAGATATAACAGAATGGATGTTATCAATCGTGGGAGAAGAAATATTTGGTTATCAACAGCTGGATAACTAAAGCTGAGGCTGCTAATAACTAGCAGTCACACTTACTGATCTGAAGGCTATTGTATTTTTGGATGGATATTGTAAATAAGTTAGTGGCAAACAACAGACAGAATTTAGTGCAAACATATTAACTGGTGCGCTAAAAGCAGTGATTGGAAAGAACTTGTGTTTATATAGCACCTGATCCTCATGGGGTCTTAAACAACAACATTTTGATACAGGCATCAGCCAGAAATCAGTGATATTTATCTCATTTGAAACAACAAGTTGTGCAGCTTCAGGTCCCACTTCAGCACCTTGAGAACAAAATCTAAGCTAGCACTCCAGTGCTGTCCTGAGGGAGTGTTGTATGTTAAACCATGTCTCAGTCAGTCCCCTTGGGTAGACCTAAAATATCCTGTGGCCTTCTTCTAAAGATTACTAATATTTATCACCCAGCCAGCTGAGTATACTATGTACAGAATATCTGGCTATTATCTCCTGGATGTTTGTGGGATTGTGCTGTGTACAAAAGCACACTCAATGTCCAACAATGACAACACTCCAACTGGCACTTTGTACATGCCGAAGTTACGAAGGATATTCTATTAACACAAGGCTTCCTCAACCCAGTCTTTCCCAAAAATGCACGGTGGTTTCTTTTTTGAGTTTAATTCTTTCCTTCCTTCCAGTATTTGAGTGGATCTACAATGTATATTGATGAATCAAGTGCTCTCAAGATTGTGGTATATTGAATTGCAGTGATTGTAAATGTTATCGGATGCCCTTTTATAAGACTAAACAGCATAGGCCACTGGTAAAATGTGCAGTTAAAACTGCGAATGGATATTGACACAAATACCAATGTGTGTATAATTTACTCATCACATATTTGTTCAACTTCTTTTAAAAGCTCAATTTAGGCATTTATCCGGCAAAATCTTAATTTCAAACTTGTTAACAGAAAATTTGGAAAACTAACTTACTATTGTATAATTAAAGTGAGCTATTTACAGAAATAGAAAGGTTTAATCTTTATCTTTGTTTCCCCTTTTAAATCTGTGTCCCAGCTGCATTACCGAGAAGCAAAAGCTTTACAGTCCTGGCCTCCTTCTCCGCATCTTCCTGCAGTTTCTTTTCCAGTTGTTTTGACCTTTTGGCTGATTCCTTGTCTTCTGCACTCGCTCCGCTCCCCATCTGTGAAACTTCTGCTATTGCTGCTGCAGTTGTAGACGAATAAAGAAAGTTAATTTGCTGTGAATGATTGTTCTGGACTTGGCCTTCAGAGCAAGGAGACAATTAGTCACTGAACACACACACACATGCACTCTTGGAGATTTCGTCGTCTCTCTTCTGTCCTAATCACCTTTCTTCTAACCTAATCTCTCTGTTGGGATTATAGAATTTGATCAACCACATGAATGAAAAAGTCCAATTACAACCAAGGACGCAGAAAGGTCATAAATTGGACATGTGATGTAGTCAAGTTTTCAAATTCACAGTGAATGAAAAGTATTTGCAAGATAATGATGCATAGGGAAAGCCACTTAACCCAATGTTATTCATCATTTTCTCCAGTGCAGGATCAGTGGTTCTAGGATTTAACTGAGAAACAGTTACACAATAATTGTCTTTGTTTATGTGAGGAAGCTTCTATCCATTCTGATATGATCTTGAACTGGTATGTGCCCATGGCCCCCCGATGGGTTGATTTAAATTAATTATTCAGGAGTGATAAACAATCTGTACAGCTATGCTAATAGCTGTTTCAGCAAACTATTTAACATAATTAGTTGAGCTCATTTATTCTGATTGTCAGTGACGAATATTTGTATGAAAGGACCTGTTCTCTGCAAACAAGAGAAACATGTTCGAACCTCCTACCTTTTTCTCAAATCTACTCCACTGGCTGGCACTGGGATGAGCATGCTTATATAGAGTTCATTGTTGGTGAACTGTGCAGCGAGGGACATGGTCAAGTCATGAGGGGTAAGAGTAAGGGTTGAGATAGGCCTGGGTTAAAGGTTAGGGAAGATGGAAGGATTGAGGTGGGTTTAGCAGTAGGTGTAGGGTTAGGGATAGAAGTAAGGGTATGTGTGGGGGTAGGAGTAGGCATGGGTTTTGATGTAGGGTGGGGCAGAAGTAAAGGTGTAGGTAGGTATCGGACGAGGTTCGATGTGGGGGTTAGATGTGGCCAGCAGTGACAGGTGGGGGTGAGGGAGGTGAATATAGCCGACAGTGAGGGGCAGAGTTGGGATGCCATCAGGAGAGGTGAAGCATTCTGTGGAGTAACCGATGGGGGACGGGGCAGCCAGAAAGCTCTGTTGCGAGGGTGTGACATGTGCAGGTAGTTGGCAGCCATCTTCACCTTCCCATTGCCCTTGATTTACAGCTCACCCCAAAAAACCCAGCAGGGGTATTAATTACTGACAGTTTTTGAACCAGGTTTCACAGATGTTTTATATGCTACTGAATGTGAATAGAGAACCCCTACTGAAATCATTGCCCTTGGGGTCTGTCAATGGATTTTATTGATCTCAAGGCTCCTTCTGAGAAGAAGCAGACAGGAACTTTAAATAATTCCAATGGCCTTCCTTTCCCATCCCACTGTAATTTACATGCTGCAGTCAGAGCAATTGTAAAATATAGATTATCAATCTTCAACTTCCATCATCTGATGTTAATATCAAGACTTTCATGACTAAAATGGTTACAGGAAGGAAGAAAATTAGACCTAAAATGGCTCCAGTGATCACCCAAGGCAATTTTGGGAAACCAATGTGGAATAAACAAAATTATTTGAGCTGAAATTACCATTTTACCTCTAGATATTAGAAACAGTCAATTGTATCAGGCATTAGGGAACGTGCATCTCTTGTTTCAATTTATAGTTCTGTGAGAGATCCACTTGAAAGGGTTGCTGCAAACATTTAGCTTGGAAAAATAATGGAGCCAGACTCAAGGATACACAAATGAACCATAATGGTGGCACAGCAGCAGGGTGAGAGAAGGAAAACTTAAGCAATAACAGCAAGGTCTAAAAGACCCACCTTCTCCTTGCATTTTCTCCTGGCTTCATTAAGAACTCAAAAATATCTACTAATAGGCATTTCACCTCCAGCAGGGCATCTCTACCTGATCAGAGGTTTACGTGTTCAAGTTCTACTCCAGGTCTTACATCATGTCAGAAATCATACAACACCAGGTTTATTTGAAATCACAAGCTTTCATAGCATTGCCCCGTCGTCAGGTGAAATCTCCTGGCTTTGCCCATCCAATTCCGACACAGACACCTCCACATCATGGCTTACATAATGTCGACTGATATTGTGCCTTTTTTGGAGATACAGTACTGTTTTTGGATGAGAAAATTTGTTCAAATGAATTTCAATGCTCTTGGAAAAGGAACAATGGAGTCCTCCCATCTCTTAGTCAACACCAATCTCACAACCAGAACCCACAAATCAATCCTCCTGAAAACTTGTCTCCACTGAACTTCAATATTTACACAGGAACTGTGGAACCTAGACTCCTCACCAGGTGGTTTATTATGGAAATGTTACTGACCAACTGCATCTAACAGAGCCACCAAAAGTAATTGGCCAATTATTTCATTTGTTTCTGGACTGTGCACAAATTAATTGGCAGCAACTGAAAGAAATTAATTGCCTTTGAGCTGTTCTGAACGGTGTGAAATAAGTCTATTCTTCCAAGAAGTGGGTGAGAGGAAGTGGTATATCTATTGTTAGTTGTGTCCTTTCTAATTGCTTGTGTAAATGCAATGTGCAGCCAACAGCAAAACTGAACACCTCAGCTGTAACCTGGACCACTGAACAGTAACTGAACATGAACAACAATAGTTGGTAGGCAAAAGTACAGGGGAAGCCTCCAAAGAACCCTTTCGAATAAGCTACCAAAATGGATTAAGATTCCCAATTCTGCATTCACTGCCTCCACACTCAACCCTCTCATTCCACCCTCCACCTAAACGTTCTTACTTCTTTCACTAAGTCCTGAGCACAATTACTGCATGGATGACTACCCCAGGCAAGATCAAAGACCCAGTTTCTTCACTGTAATCTTGTAAAGAGCTCAGTATGGAGCAGATTAATGTGCCAGGAAAAGCAAAGCCAAGTCAATAAAACTTAACGACATTTAACAGGCTAATGAAGGGAACCTGATTACAGAGTTACATTCTTTTGAAAGCTTTAGGGGATTTTGTGCTCTCGACAGCTGTCAAATACAATCATTGGTGCCGTCGACATTAGCTGGTAGCTGTCAAAGCTGTCCTCGGTCAAAGTATTTCATTCTTCTCTTCCCCACAAATCAATTCTCCTGAAAACTTGTCTCCACTGAACTTCAATATTTAGACAGGAACTGTGGAACCTAGACTCCTCACCAGGTGGTTTATTATGGAAATGTTACTGACCAACTGCATCTAACAATTGCTCAAGAGGAAGGCCGAGACGGTCAAAGAATTTGAAATATAGTGGACGACATTCAAACTTGAGGCATTGCTTAATTAGAAGCAATGTCAAGTCTTGGTAGATTGTAGATAATAAAAATTTGCGAGCCTCTTTGGCCATGTCTATAGCTCCATTTCAGAATTGGAAGTGGGCCTAAAGGAATCTGAAATCCACCTGGCCCTTTCCTGTCCATCAGGGCACATGGGAGAATGACAACCAGTGAAGTGTAGGTGGGTCTCTTTGCTCTTGCTCAGTCAACATGAAGACACAGGTTTAATGATGGGAATTCCCACCTGTGGATCACAAACTGAAGGGTGGGAATTAATACCTCCAGGGACTGCAGCAGTTTAAGAAGGAAAGGGAAGGAAATAAACACAATAACTATCAACAGAGAAATGGTACTAGAGAAACCAATGAGGCTAAAGTCCCTGAATTTAAGGTGTTTCATCCTAGGATTTTAAAGGGAGTGGTCACAGAGATGACGGGTGCACTAGTAGAAATGTTCCAAGAATTCTTAGACACTGGAAAAGTCCCAGAGGATTAGAAAGTTGTTGATGTAACACTTTTATTTTTACAAAAGGAGACAAAAAGTATTAGAGATAACAAGGTGTAGAGCTGAATGAACACAGCAGGCCAAGCAGCATCAGAGGAGCAGGAAGGCTGACGTTTCGGGCCTAGACCCTTACTAGTATTAGTATTAGTTAGGCTAGTTAGCTTAACATCCATTATTGGGAAAATGTTACAGTTTATTTGTTGTCATCATTATCATGGGCAATCACTTGCGATTGGGTATGATTGTCCACCCAGGAAATTCCATGTCACTGGTCATGGTTCTATTGGCTTGTGTGTGGCTGGTGAATCTGATTCTAGAGCCCCATCTCCAACCACACATTTGACAGATATGTCCAGGACCTGGAAATGGTCCTTCACCTTGAGATTGTTAGCATTCCTTTCTCTGGCACCCTTTCCATACTTCCTCTTGCCCCCGAGTGTTCTAGAAGAATTGTATCCCTTCAGACAGGAGTTTCCTCCAACTCAGTTTCTTCGCCAGAGAAAGGGTGGGGCCGATCAAGGATTGTAAAGGGAATTTGTGCACGGAGCCTAAAGTGATAGGAGAGGTCCTTCATGAATATTTTTCTACGGCATTCACAACTGAGAGGGACCTAGTTGCAGAGGAGGACAGTGTGAAACAAGCTGGTAGGCTAGAGGAGGTCGATGTTAGTAAGGAAGACGTATTAGGAATTTTGAGGGACTTGAAGATAGATAAGTCCCCCGGGCCTGATGGGATTTATCCAAGGATTCTATGGGAAGCAAGGGAAGAGATCGCAGGGCCTTTGGCGATGATCTTTTTGTCCTCACTGTCCACGGGTATAGTGCCGGAAGATTGGAGAGAGGCAAACGTCATTCCCTTGTTCAAAAAAGAGGTAGGGATAACCCCAGAAATTACAGGCCAGTTAGTCTTACTTCAGTGGTGAGCAAATTATTGGAAAGGGCTCTGAGAGATAGGATTTATGATCACTTGGATAGGCACAGTTTGATTCGTGATAGTCAGCATGGATTTGTGAGGGGTAGATCATGCCTCACAAACCCTATTGAATTCTTTGAAGAGGTGGCCAAACACGTGGATGAAGGTAGAGCAGTGGATGTGGTATACATGGATTTAAGTGAGGCGTTTGATAAGGTTCCCCGTGGTAGGTTCATGCAGAAAGTAAGGAGGCATGGGATAGGGGGAAATGTGGCAGATTGGATTCAGAATTGGCTGACCCTTAGAAGATTTCGGGTGGTAGTAGACGGATAATATTCAACATGGTGCTCAGTTACGAGTGGTGTACCACAAGGATCTGTTCTGGTTCCTCTTCTATTTGTGATTTTTGTAAATGA